AGATGCATATTAGCAAATTGGAAATGCAACTTGAAGGTTATAAAGGTTATTGTAGCTATATGGGTGCTCATTTTTTTCTTGCAATTGAATGCATTGGCCTAAATTCCATATAAAGTAGACAATAACATGTACTGAGATCACCTGGGGTCCGTTCTTCGTATGTGGATTACTCAGTTAGCTGGATTTGGATATTGACGATTTGACACGATCCAGGATCGTTTCGTTCTTCAAAGCTGATCCGAGAGTTGTTGTCATGGCAACAGATCTGCTAGGTCAAACCTGATCGGGAGCAGGTTCAAATCATATAAACAGGATTAGATCGGCTCAGTTCAAGCAAAGATAATACAGAAAGTATGTACCGAGTTCTGATATTTTCTTACAGTAAAAGTTATATACACTTGGGAAAATAGTAAATATTTTTTAACTATATATATAAAAGTTATAGTCATTAATAAAATAAATAAAGTTATACATATTAATAAAACGTATGCAATCTGCACCCTCGAAATGAAAATACAAAGACTGCCACCTGGTGGTGCAAAGAGAAAACTTATTGATATGAACTTTTTAGATCGCTTTAGTACAAATTGTGTATAATAGAAATGCACAATATGTGACTTTTTTTAAAGCAATAATACATATATGCAGTCATAAACATGTTTTGACAGTTAATATGCCAGTGATGCTTCACAAAAGTTGCAGACGCCTTTACCAATATCAAAATGCTTTTGGAAACAACCAGTTATTCTTTACACCGATTAAAAAACGGTTACTATAATAAAGAAAATCTTTTCTAAATGAAGAACTAAATACATTGATTTGCATTGAAATACATGATGAATACTCTTGTCTTGACAAATGAAAGTGTAAAGCCTGCCGCTCACAACAAATGTGAAGTTACTGCGTGTCATATTTAACAAGCCGTTTACTGCTAATTTGATGTAATTTTGCTCACATGGATAATTAATTATTAATCAGATGATGTCATTACGCTGCTGTGCCGTCAGCCAATCGTTGCATTGCTGATCATGATTTCGAGGATCGATAGATCTGTCCTTAACAACAAACGCAGCGATCTCAGATCAGTTCATCCAGATATTCTAATCTGATTCGCGAACTTGTTTGGAGAACCAAATTAGCGAGAGATCAGTTATCAAGATTAAAAGATCCAGGATCTGCCAAATCATCTTAGATCATTTAAGCGAGGTACGAAGAACAGACCCCTGAATGAAGTAGTCTCAGTCTAATTGAAAACACACTCTGGAGCAGTTACTTATAGTCACTTGTAGTCACCAAAGCAATCCAAACCATTCATTCATTCATTTATTTTCTTGTCGGCTTAGTCTTTTTATTAATCCGAGGTCGCCACAGTGAATGAACCTCCAACTTATCCAGCAAGTTTTTTTACGCAGCGTATGCCCTTCCAGCCGCAACCCATCCCTGGGAAACATCCACACACACATTCACACACATACACTGCGGACAATTTAGCCTACCCAATTCACCTGTACCACATGTCTTTGGACTGTAAGGGAAACCGGAGGAAACCCACGCGAAGGCAGGGAGAACATGCAAACTCCACACAAAAACGCTAACTGAGCTGAGGTTCGAACCAGCGACCCAGCGGCCTTCTTGCTGTGAGGCGACAGCACTACCTACTGCGCCACTGCCTCTCCCCAATCCAAACCAATGAATGAACAAATCAGGCTTCCTCACAATGTATGAAGAGATATTGTACATAATAACTACATTATACATTATAAATATATTGTCTGAAAATAGCAGTGTTTGCTTTGCTAATGCTTTAAGTAAAGGCCTATACATAAGAACAAAGAAAATTGATTTTCAGTCAAAACAACTGCCCAAAACATAAAAATACTGACAAAGCCTGGATTCTTGTTAAAAAAAAAAGATAAAGTAACAACAGCAGCTGCAAAGAAAGCCAAAATAAGCCCATAAAGCCACAATAAGATCCATTCTGGTGCATGACTGACATGAGTGGAATGCAGGAACATAAACCGGCGCATTTGACCAAATCTTTCTGGTAAAAATATCCAATATACCAAAGAGTTAACAAACCTTGTTGTATTTTATAATCATTTGTTTGAGCTGATGAATTGAAAAGTCGTTAAAACAATGTCCGGTGCATTCAAGTAACTCGTTCAATGGCATTGTACCAACCTTTGATAAATAATAGAAAATGCAACAGGGTTTGTCAACTCTCTTGGGCATAATGGATATTTTGTTTATCTGGAGGATTTGGTCAAATGGGCCTGTTTATGGCATTCCACCCCAAGAGGACTTAAATGCATTATATGATTTGTAATTCTATAAAAGAGATAAAAGCAATGTAAAATCAAAGTAACATTTATGTGGTCGCTTATATATGCCCTGCATCTATAAGTACACCCCCCACAAATCTCTCATTTAAATTAATATTTTCTATAGGATGCTTTACAATGTTATATTTGTGCATATACATTAGATTAGTCAGTACTGAAGCCCAATCTGGAGCTAATCTAACATAATAATTTACAATAATGATTCAAAAATCAATAGCCAATTTTTATGGGGAAACAATATTAAATATTTTAAAATTATATATTTTTTTGCAATATTTTATATGAATTTAAATGTATTATCTTTTAATTTCTAAAGATGCTCTGTAAAAAAGCAATGTAAAATCAAAGTAACATTTATGTGGTCGCTTATATATGCCCTGCATCTTTAAGTACACCCCCCACAAATCTCTCATTTAAATTAATATTTTCTATAGGATGCTTTACAATGTTATATTTGTGCATAAACATTAGATTAGTCAGTACTGAAGCCTAATCTGGAGCTAATCTAACATAATAATTTACAATAATGACTAAAAAATCAATAGCCAATTTTTATGGTGAAACAATATTAAATATTTTTAAATAAATTTTTTTTTGCAATATTTTATATTAATTTAAATGTATTATCTTTCAATTTCTAAAGATGCTCTGTAAATAAAATATTATTTTAATAAATATATCCGTTTAATAAATCTGTTTTGTTCAAATACTCTAATATATATTACCCATATTCACTGAAAAATGTATAAAAATATTCATTTTCAAAATGGGGTGTACTTATTTATGCTGAGCACTGTATCTGAAATGTATAACATAATGTAAGTTACTGTATGTATTTCAGAAATGTTGCAAAAACGTACACAGCGTCCATAATTTACTCACCCTCAAGCCATAGATAAAAATGTATTCCTTCAGATAAACACAATCAGAGTTATATTAAATAAAACTTGTCTCTTCCCAACTCTGTAATGGCAGTGGCCATGTTTTAAAGCCTCAAAAAACACACTCTTTCATCAAAAAAGTAATGAATGACAACAAATAGGAAAGAGAGTCAATTTAAAATGGTTGGTAAAAAATTGACAATACAAACGGGGAATTCCACCATGCTGGCATAGATAAAAGAACCATTTCTGATAAATGTTGAATATGTTGAAATGTAAAATAGGTTTTAAAGCTAAATGTTTTTGATGTATTAGAAAATGATCTTGTGGCTTTTTGCCCTGCCATATTTGTTGTCTCATGAACGTACACAACAGTTGTTGGTAGTCCATTGTTGGTAGTCCATTATAACGTTTATAAAGTTTTAATTGCAGATAAGGTTTTTTACAAAAAATGCATCTCTTCAAAAGAAAATTATAATGAAATCTTTTCGTCTACAAGTGGAAAACTTTTTATGTGGGTTGGATGAGGTTTATTGAGCTTTTTGTACAAAATACTGCCATTGTAAAGCTGAGAAGATATTATGGAATAACACTCTGATTTTGTTCAACTTGAAAAAAAAAAGAGAAAAGAATAGCACATACACCTAAGAGCCAGTGCATTTTGGGATCATTTTTAATTTTCAGTGAATTATTTCCCAGTACCGGGTTGCAGCTGGAAAGGCATCTGCTGCATTAAACATATGCCAGATTAGTTGGCGATTCATTCCACTGTAGCAACTGCTGATAAATAGGGAACTTAGCCTAAGGAAAATAATGAATGAATTATAACAATTTACAGTAAAATTCTTTTAGGTAATGATAGTTCATGTATTTCATGAACAAGCTATTAAAGCTATTACACACATGGCACTACTATTTTGTAGGTATAATCAACATATTTCTAGTAAAATAAAGAAAGTTCCTTTTAAAAATAAATTAGTTTAAATTTTGTTGACCCACAACTTGATTTTGATTCACTGTCAGACTTAAGATGGATTGACACTCATTAATTTATGCCGATATTTTGTCCAAAAAAAGAATAGCATACCTATTCATGTATTTCTCATTTATCTGCCTTTAATTGACACAGAATGAAATCTTTGCAGAAAGCCTTGACCCTTTGTTCCGTATAACCTACGTAATGCCAGTTTTGTCCTCTACAGACCATGACAAGTATCAAGACTGATAAGTCAGTTGCAGATCAGATAAATTGTTCACCAAATAGAAAATAACAGTGTTCTCCTCAAGCAATGCTTTAAATGAAATATGGCACTCGCTTATATATGCTTCCCTTTGTTGTACAGTCTTAAAAATCTCCTGTCCTACCAAGCAACCCAACATACCCATCATTTCAACTGCTTGCAGGCTTCAGTTCTCAAACAAAGTGGCCGAGAGCAATATAATGAGATGAAAATTGTTGCATATGAGCAAGCGCGAACACTTTACTCACGTTCACACTTTGCCTGTGATTATCAAGACTTCACCATGAAGCATTTTCTAATGGACTCATGTTATCGTTTTACATTTGTTCAATTTATGTGTGTACCATGCACGTTTGTTGTAAAGAGGAGAGGATAAATTATTAGTTCCTCATTCGGAGGCAGGCTGAATCTATTTCATTCTTTACACCCCACATAAAAGTCTCAGTCAATAAATAAAGAAACGCAATTATTCTTTCAAACACCCCTCTCGCTGCACTCAAATTTATACATTTAATGAGGAAAAAAGGCATACTTACGCAGATAAGCAAGTTGAACATGACCATCAGAGCTTTGACAAATGTGAAGCAGCCCATTTTAATCTGTAATGAAGCGATAGATGTCAATAAATCACAGCTGAGCTTTGATATTTTAATTCTCTTCAGTGCATGCATCCACACATAATATACAGTATGTTGTAAGTGACTAATTAAAACTAATTGTGTTTTGATTCCGTAAAAGCAACCCACCTGTTTTGATCCAAAGTGCAGTAATAGATCTAAACTCTGTGGAGTGAGTTGGCAAATGAGCAATATACAGGGGAAAACACTGAAGAGAGATTAAAATAAAGTAAAGGAGACACGTTCACAGGTGATTTGGGAGTGGTTTGCATGTAAACTAGCTGGTTAGAGTGGCTTTAATGTGGCTTGTGTGTCATACGACTATAGCTTTGCCCTGCAGTCAAAGTGGTTTCATTGTGGTTTACCTCCATGATGTCACTTCATAATCATATGTGGTATATTTATCATAATCTCCAACACAGCATGATACTGTTCTATGTACTTTTTAATATAAATAACTATCCAATTTAAAGCCATTTATTATTAATAAATGACACCAATTTGACCCTGCAGTGTACTTTTAATGCACCTGTTAATTCTGAGATTTTGGACTTTTTGGTTTTTATTAGTATTTATTGATATAACATCTGAACTTCCAAAAGACATTGGAAGTGTTTTTCCTCATTTGTATCAATTTGAGCTTGCAGATTAAATTTTAATGCATATGTTCAATGTTATTTTGTGTGGAGTTTGCATGTTCTCCCAGTGTTCGCGTGGGTTTTCTCCGGGGGCTCCGGTTTCCCCCACAAGTCCAAAAACATGGTGTATAGTTGAGTTATGAAAGCTAAAATTGTCCATACGCGTGCTAAGGAATGTGTATAGATGTTTCCCAGTGATGGCTTGCAGCTGGAAGGGCATCCGTTGCGTTAAACATATGCAGGATAAGTTGGTGGTTCATTCCGCTGTGGCAACCCCTAAAAAGGGACTAAGCTGGAAAGAAAATGAATGAATGAAGGCTGATTTCTCTTTATAAGTTTTTTTCTTCTGAGCCATACTGTATATTTTCATGTTTAAACAACTTTCATACATCAAACTTTACTGTTTTATTTGTCTGTGTTCTTAATAATTTTACTAAGTGATGCATATAGTATGCCTGATATAGCATTTTTACTCTACAAAAGATTCCGAACATGATTTGTCTGGCTGTTCACACAATTTGTGATGTGTGGAATGATAAAAAAATGATCAAGTTTTTAAAACCAAGATGCATTTAAAAATAGTATTCATGAATTTGGTGTTAAAATTGTTCAAAGGTCTAAGAGTATCCAGAGACAAAAGGTCAAGCAGAGAAAAGGACAAAACATGGACAGTCCCTTTTTAAAGGTCGACTTTGGTCACTTCATATCAGTAGTACACATTCTTTACTGTCCTTTGTGTGCTTTCCTTTGTTCTTTTGTACTGAAGCAAACGGTCATACCAATAGAGGGCAGTATTGCAGTGCAATGGCTCTCAGCTTTTATGTCTTCACTGGTTCACCATTGTGGTATCTGGATACTTGGAGATGATTGATGGTCCCTTAGTGGAGGAAAATGTCTTTCTTTGTCCAGTTTTATCCATGGAAAAACAACACAAAGAGCATAGAGATATAAAGTTCCCCAGAAAACGATTCAAAGAGCATTCATACAGCCTTCTTGATTCAGAGCACTTGATCCAGTGCATTTTTGGAAAACAATTTCACATTAGAATATGAATGTTTCTTTTCTTGAAATTATTGTTGTCTATATATGTTAATTATTAATAGTTTTTTATTATTATTGGTTTCTTTTTATTAATTTTTTTATGATACATAGTACTACTACTAGGAATATTTACACTTAACTTTTTTTATTTTAAGATATTTTTATTTAAAAAAACTAATGTTACACACATACTGTTTGCTGTATGGAATGCAAAAACTATGAAGCTCAATATCTCAAAATCATTCAGAATGCAAATAGAACCTAATGTTGACGATATCCTTATTTTAGAATTATTTAATGATACATTCTTTAAAATGGCCCTTTAATAGTATTATTAGCATTAAAAATGCATATTTAGGCTCTGCATGTTGTTGCATCTTCCATAACTCTATTTATGTCTATAGTTCTTTCATGTACCTTCTCTCAGTCTCATTTCCACTTAAATTCCCCCTTCCGATCTTCCTGTCCAGTATTATTTGACATTCTCTGCACATCTAAGACTGGGCCCTGCAGGCGAGAAAATCACATAAAGAGGAAAAAAAATTGACAGATTGCCTGGTGCCACCTTGCTAGAGTTAAACACATATCAGCAGCAGCCCTCTTCGTAATATCACTTTAATGGTCCTATTGTGAGTTATGACAATCTCGCCAATCCCATCATTAACCCACCCAGTCCTTAATCTCACCAAGAAGAGCACCTGTCAGCCATCATTAGGAATTAAAGCAGTTAATAACCTCCACACATACTCCTGTAGAGAAAAAAAATATTAGGTGGACACTTTTTCATCATAACTAAGGCAAGCGATAGAAAATTCTGCACTATCGCTGGAGCCAGTAAAACATGGACAGCCATAATGAGGTTGGCCAGATTAAGTATTATCTGTTCTCTCCAGGGCAAAAAACTCAGGTGATGCATGGTTGGTTTTTGTTCGTCCAGAGGGCCATTTCGTCATTAAGGATCTCCTCTCAGGACGGGACCCTTGTCATATAGGCTGGCCAATGATATGACTTGTGAACCTGCAAAACAAGCTCTAATGAGGACAAATTCATTCTCAGTAAAGAGGACAATAGCTCAGTAAAATAATCTAAAGAGCAAATTCGTTTGATTAAACAAAGCTAAGATCAGGTTAGTAAAAACTGATTTTTTGTATTATTAACAATGAAAACACTTAAATCTTACAAAGCAAATGCTTTCTCAAGATAAAATCTGGAGAAATTGCATACACATAAATGGGACATGTTATACACCTTTTTATAAGATGTAAAATAAATATCTTATGTCCCCAAAATTTTTCTGGAGAGTTCTACTAAAACACTCAAGTATTTTTTTTGTCTATTTGGGTTTGAGCAAAAACACATTTTTTTTGTGTATGTAGTGTGTACCTTTAAATGCAAATGAGCAGCTGCTTTCTAAAAGAGGGCAGAGCCTTTTTACATTATTCTGATATTCCAGAAACAACAAAGTAAAGGGGTGGCATCAGTCTGCCTTCGGAATGACAGATACAAATCCTGCACAGTGGCTAGAGGGATTTTGAGCCATTCTTCTTGCAGAATAGTAACCATGGGTAACTAAGTGATAATGGTTAATGAAACTTGCACCTGGTTTCCTGACTCACTCCTGCAAAGCACCCCAAAGTGGCTCAATAATATTTAGATCTGGTGATTGTGCTGACCATGAGACATGTTAAACTTGCTGTGTGTATTGGTGCATTATCATCCTAATACACGACACTGCCTTCATAATACAATGTTTGAACCATTCAGTCCACATAATCCTCCGGAATTGTTTAATCCATCTAGTTCAAGTATTGGGCCAAGGGATGATTTTTTCAGGCTTCTCCACACCGTAAACCTCACAAATGGTGCAAAGACAGAAAAGGCGGACTCATCAGAGAATAATACATGTTTTACATTGTTCACAGATTAAAATTTTCACTGCAGACATCATTTTAACCGACATTTAGCATTACACGAGTAACCAAAGGTTTAGCTATAGCAGCCCAGCCATGTACTGTATATTGAACCTGAGGAGCTTCCAAAACGAGAGATGAGGTGCACATTAAATTCTACTGCGAGTTGGACAGCTTTAGTTTTATTTTATTTTTTGGATATATACGCCAGGAAAGCACCCAGACATCTTGTTCATACAGCTTTCTCTTGCATCCACAGTTTCTCCTGTTGGATGTGGTTTGTCCTTCTTGGTGGTATGCTGACATTACCCTGTGTACCGTGGCTCTTGATACATCACAAAGACTTGCTGTGTTGGTTACAGATGAGCCAGTGAGATGTGTATTGCAGTGTTTTAAGTAAAACTGTGATTTTACTCTGCTAGTTAAACTATCATATACTGCTCTTCTTGGTGGAATGTGCATTCAATGAAGATTGGCCACCAGGCTGGTTAAATCTAGCTAAGAAAACCTCCAGCACTAAATTGATTAGTGTTTAAGTTTTCATTCTCCAACCCTTGTTCAAGTCAGGCAGCTAAAATAACAGTGAGAGAGAGGAAGAAGTTACAGTACAACTTTTAGACTGAACCAATGGTTGGTAGATCTATAGTATTTATGCATATGTTGTTGAGTAAAGTTGAGTAAACATGAACTACAGAATGCATAAGATATTCACTTGAATAGTTTTGAATGGGGACAAATAGAGCAGTCCAAAGGAGCCCATCATTAATCACTATAAACTGTCGATTCTCTGGGACAGGGACTTGGTCCATTTAATTTAATCTTCACAACATTTTTTAAATGCCTGGCATTCAAACCCAACATAGTTGCATAGTTGCAATAGAGGTAAAGTTCCACTTGCAGCTTTATTAAAAAGAATGGTCTGGAAGAAAGAGGTTTAGACAAGTGCAAACGACAATATAAAGGGTAATCAAACTATTCAACAGGCAGACAGAGGTCAGGGTATCTAGCAAACAAGAAAAAGTCCAAGAAAAAAGAAGAAAACTCAGGCGAAATCCTCGATCAGCAGCTGTGTGTGTCAGTGTACATATTAGTAAACTGTTTCAGCTGTGAGATGCAAAGCACAATGGGAGATGTAGTCCAGGTGAATAGCTGGTTGAGAGGTTATATAGCTGGAGTGAGTCTGATGGGTACTCCAGCTAATGACCACAACAGCTTGGAAGGATGATGTCTGATTGCATCCTCCAGAAACAGCCGTAAAGGAGGTTGGTGTTGTGAATGTATTCCCTATGGTTTTAGTTTGGGCAACAGAATTTATGAGAGAGTTGTTCTGTTTTATGCTTGAGTTTATTGTTTGCTCATTCTAAGAGATGGTCACAAAGTGAAATGACTTGCCTTAGCAGGGTCTTTGAATCAACTCATCTAGCATGGTAAATCATGATCTGTTCAGACATGCTGTCCTATTCAAATAAACAACACAATAAACATAATTGTTACAATGTTCTCATATTTCCTTTTCTTTTTGTAAAAAGTTCACAACTGTTAGCCTTAAATAAATTGTAGAACAAAACACTTATTGTCAAATATAAAAGTTTTAACATAAGACTGCATATCTTTCGCTATAAAAACGGACCCTGACAAATGATATTATATTATATAATTATAGGAGTTTAACATGGAAAGGTCAGATTTCATTTTCTGTCCCCCTTTAC